CCGAGCCGGCCAGCGCTCGGGGGCGGAGCCGAGCGGCTGCACGGCGGCGCCCTGGGGTGGTGCTGGCAGCTGCCCAGCACGCGTGGCGCAACAGCAGCGCGTCAGCACGGCGCTCGCGCTGCCCCCGACCTGCAGTGCCGCTCCCTGCGCTGCAGCGTCCGCAGCTGGTGCCAGGGCAGAGACTGCTGTAAAAACACCAAAACCAGAGATGATTTGGGAATTGCAAGACATCCTTTTCACATGGTGGTCCCTTGTGGAGAGCAGCAGCTCCCAGCCCTAAGCCTGGCAGGTGCTTTTGGCTTTGGCTGGTGCTCAGGCTGAGGGACCTGCCCTTCCCAGCAGGCAGCAGAACCTGCTCTTACTCTCTGCATCCCTCTGGCACATGTACAGGCCCCCGAGGCTCCCAACATGGTGTGGCTCCTGGACGTCACAGCATGATACAGATACCAGGAAGGATGCACCAGCCACAGCTTCTTTACTGCTGTCACTGCCTTGGCTTGTTGAGGTGCCCAGCAGCAGCATGAACCCTGCACAGCCCGTTGGAGACGCCCTCACAACTTTTTGCCTCCCCTCAGCTCTCTCTGCAGCGCTCCAGCAGCTTCAAGGACTTCGCCAAGGCCAAGGTCAACTCCCCCGGGGTGACTGAGAAGGAATTCAACCTGGATGAGAATGTGAGTGCTCAGCCCTATGTGCAGGGACCCCCCTTCCTGGGACCTGTGGCATCCCACTCCTGTGGGGATCCCGCCTATGAAAATCGCCTTCCAATGCCTACCCCACACCCGCAGCCCCCCGCAGTTGCTGTTCACCAGAGTGACTCGGGCCCCTGGCGCTGTCCTGGGATGCCAGCGAGCCTGGAAGGCTCCTACAGCAGCCCAGACTGTGGGTAACAGGGGGGTCTGGCTCCACTCTCCATCCCCCTCCCAGATCCCTGAGGATGAGTCCAGCACTGCCGTCCCTGAGGAGGCTTCGCGGAGCAGCGGGATGAAGCTGAGCAAGAAGTGGAGAGCCGTCATCTCCCGCACCATGAACAGGAAGATGGGCAGGATGGCCGTGAAAGCACTAGCCGAGGGCAAGGTGAGGCAGGCGGTGCGGGGCGGCAGCGCCTGCTCCCACAGACCCTGCCCAGCACTAACCCCTTTCCCCAGCAGGGAGACCTGGAGGAGGACGGGTCCCCGTCCCCATCCCCGCTGTCCCCGACCAGCAGCATAGAGGAGCCAAGCCAAGACAAGGTGCCCCTCTCCTACCTGGAGGGGGAGGAAGACGGGCACCCGGCCCTTGGCCGCCAGCTGTCCAGCGGTGAGTGCAGCCCCGCACAGGGCCCCTGCGCGCCAGGGCCGGCCCTCACGGCCCCGTCTCCCCTCGGCAGGCAGCGAGGCCGCCAGCCCCGCCGGCCCCAGCCGCGACAGCCTGCAGCTGGAGGAGAGCGGCCCAGCCTACGCCGGCCCCTTCTGCGGCCGGGCCCGCGTCCACACGGACTTCACACCCAGCCCCTATGACAAGGACTCGCTGAAGCTGCGGGTGAGCAACCCCACCACCAGCCCAGGGACGGGGCGAGGGGGACGGATGGGCAGGAGGGTGGCTGAGGACACCTCCAAGGGTGCCCGGCCTGCTGGTGGCTCTCCCAGCCCTCACACTCCTCTCCTTGACACAGAAAGGGGACATCATTGGCATCATTGAGAAGCCACCTGTGGGCACGTGGACAGGGCTGCTCAACAACAAGGTGGGCTCCTTCAAGTTCATCTACGTGGATGTCATCCCGGAGGAGACAGCCCCTGCCCGCAAGAGCAGGAGACACAGCAAGAGCAAGAGGCTCAAGCCTAAGACCCTCCACGAGCTGCTGGAGCGCATCAACCTGCAGGTGAGACCCAGTGCCCATAGTGCGACAGGGACACGTGGGCACAAGCCTGCCTGACTGGCAGAGGCTCCCACAGCAGCAACAGGAAGCAGACAGGGAACTGTCTGCTTTCCAGCACCTCTTCACCCATCCCATTATGCCCTGTCCCTCTGGGCCTCTCCATCTCATGCCCTAGTGCTGCCGCACAGGGACACATAGGGCTCCTACAGCCTGCACTTGTGCAGAGGGAGCTGAGGGGTGGGAACCGGGGTTCGTGGTTAGCACCAGCAGCCACATCCCTGCCACCAAGCACGCTGCTCTCGGCGCCTAGGAGCACACCTCCACCTTGCTCCTGAACGGCTACCAGACCCTGGAGGACTTCAAGGAGCTGCGGGAGACGCACCTCAACGAGCTGAACATCACAGACCCGCAGCACCGTGCCAAGCTGCTCACAGCTGCCGAGCTGCTCCTGGATTATGACAGTAAGAGACGGCCCAGGGCGGCCGGCTGGGACCCCACATCAGGCTGTGCCCCCCACGCCAGGCTGCCCCGCGGCCCTCCGTGAGCAGGGAGCTGCTGCCCGCTAACGTTGGCTCATCTCTCCCAGCAGCAAGCGAGACAGAGGAAGGAGACAGCTCCGAAGCCCAGCCTTCCCCCACGGACGCCAAAGGGGACATTCCCCGGGACTCAGGCTGCTTTGAAGGGTCGGAAACGCTGGATAGCAGCCGGGATGATGCGGAGCTCACG